AAATTTTGGGTATGCTTGCATGACTTTGTCTTTTTTTGTTATCTTGAATATTAACCATCCAGTAATGTATTTAAATTTTGCATCTTCAGAAGGGTCTAGTTGAATAATTGATTGGGGCTTGATATATTTATCATATATGTCGATATCTTTTATAAATTGATTGTCATTTTTGAAACAACCTTTGATGACATTTTCTAATAAGAGATAGGCTACTAGGCGCTTTACACTTGGATCAATATTTGAATCGTAAAGATGAGTACAAAATTGCTGGTACCAATCACCACCATATTTGTAATTATTAATTTGAATATTAAGATTTGCTGCCCATGTATTTTTCTACAATAATCCTTTTCGCTTTGGAATAGAGTTATATACTAAACTATTAATTTTGTTTTGCCATTCATGAAGCAACTTGTCAATTTCAGGTATGCTAACCAAAATTTTAATTAATTGAATACATTGCAATTGCAAATTATTCAATTGCTCTAAATCTGGCAACACTATTCTATGTAGAATTTGGCTACTAACAAATTATCATTCAGTAGTTCACCAAAAACTCGACATCCCAATTCTGACAGAAATGTCAAATTAGTAGATTGCTGTTGACTTGTAGATAAATTTATATTTACAATTGCTTGATTTTTTGTCTTATGATGGCTTCTATAAATTATAAATATTTTTATTTTACTACTATTAGCATGCATAATCGAACAAATGTTAAGTTACATACCTTCTTCGTAATTCACTTGATATACATCCAGAAATTTCTGCCTGTCTATAATTAATACTTTGAGCTCTCATAACATCTGTGCAGTGATTTGAAACTTATTTAATGCATTTCCGTATGATTGAATAGTATGTGTAGAAGAATCTTCTCCAAGCTGACGAATTGTTCCAAACAGGCCTTCAAGCATATCTTGTGACACACATCTTGGTTTGATTATTATAGTTGAATACATAGATTTAAGGTAATATAATAATTCTATAAAACCATTTATTGATATAATTAGATCGAATTGATATTGTGGCGATATCCACTCTATTGCAGATGTTTTTTCTGTATTTCCACTAATAAACCAATCTCTAATTTTTTTCAAATGGCCAAGTTGTGGATCATCCAGAGTTTGAAAAGCTATATGACTATGCATAATTTCACGATATTCACGTGCATTCTTAATAAATAACTGTAAAACAATACGTATTAAATTATTTATTAAAAATGTTTTTAATATTTTGTATAATATTGTTATTTACCTGTGTACCAACAGATATATCTTTGAGAGGATCGATCAGAGTCATAGCTTTTTCTATATCTGATGAGAAAGTTTGCTCAGCCAAGTCTACACGCATCTTGCTCCAGGAAGTTAGCCAAATATGGCAATTAGTAAGGCCTGTTGCCATTGCAGTTTGATGTTGAACTGTATATTCATGAACATTACGAATATGCTTCCAGCTAATCTCATATCCTTTATACATTATTTCTCGTGTATTTGAAGTATTATTAGTATGACTTTTGTACAGATTATTACGTAACTTTTTGAAAATGTGAGTTGGATTACTAATAAAAAACCATGGATCTCCTGTAATAGGATTTACAGTCTTATGCCAAGCTAAGCTTTTGTATTCATTATATGCTAGACAGACATTTTCCATACCAAGTTTTCTTATTTCATTTTCATCATTTGTAACGTTAATGATGACATCGATTTCAAGATTATTCCAGTCAATTGCATTTATTTTACTCTCATACCAGCCACCATCTTTATTCCGAAAATACTCACAGAGATCGTTAACTTGTAAGCATCTGCCAAATGGCATTGGAGACCGAATAGCTGAACGAATGACTGTATATATTTCTTTATTATGTAGGCCTTGGATTGTAAATTTTGTATGCTTTTCATTCATATTAACAATTTTTGCTAAATGAAAACTGCTTGTTGCATCTTGAAACAAGCAGAATTTGGCTTCAATGATGTCTCCTATTTTTTATGATGATGCAAGCCAATTAAAACTCTTAATATGAATCCGGTTGTCTCCCGCACCATCACATATTTCTCCAATTGTATGTATTCCCACACATTTTAACTTAGCAGCAAGTTCAAAAACAACGTTATTGAGTATTTGAGCTGACATTGTTGAAATTCTATAGTAAACAATCAGAAAATTAAATGAGTGACTTGCGGAATGCCACACAAATTGATGCACTTGCTGTGCTAAACTAGATTGCATTGAATGATTATCACTTTTTCTATTATTTTTTTGACTAATATCTTGATTAAACTTTTCGGCCCACTCTTGTAATTCATTTTTTATATTTTCAAAATCCAAATATTCTACATAACAGTTTCTACGTTAGCTCCAAAGAAGACCTTATACCCGAAAGCAATTAAAAGTAAACAAAATTTATATTATAGGTATTTTGATTATTTAAATTGATCTTACCTTTTTGAATTTTGAATGAATCATGTGAAAAGAACTCTATTCTTCTGAATTCCCATATATTGTCTGCATCTATATTTACTAGCATTTGTTGTGCAATTTTGTTTTGCTATCCTGTTTTTTGTTCACTTTCGTTTATATAACTTTTTAGGGTTGAGATAGCAGGCAGACGTATAACTTCTTGAAGTGTATTGTAGGCACTCTTACCTCTATGGCTATATATAGCAATAGCCCATCTAATAAATCTAAAAAGCCAATAGTTAGAAGGTATATATATAAATATATATTGTCAAATCGTTGCATACATTGGATGATATCTAACTCCATATTTTTTTTCACTTTGCACTCTAATTAATTCACGAAATACAGGATGCATTGTTGCTAATTCTGATTCTTTTTTTTTTTGTTGAACTTCTTGGGACACTTTATTTATGACTCATTCGAGTTCTTCAGAAATAGGTTCTTCTTCAATTTTATTTTTGTTTTTAATAATTCAATGAAATGTTTTTGTTTGTAAATAATCTAT